GTGGATATAAGCAGTAGTCAAGAAATGTCTTCTGATGGAAGTACGCGGAAGGATTCAAAAACGTGGTCAACTTTAATGCCATCAGCATTTGGCCCTCACCAGGTATGTTGTAGAATCTTGGAACTTAATATTGGTAAGAAAACAGCGATTTTTTTAGGTACTTTAATACCTAAAGTTCTACCTTTCTTGTAATTTCAAAAGTTAGATTTAGTTAAGGAACCCTTCAGCGTTTTGTCATTCTTATTGCTTAGGTTCAGAATCCTGAGCTGTTTCCCGTTAAGTAAGTAAAGTCTTTCAAGTGAACTATTTTTTTAAGAGAAGAATTTTCAGTATGCTTTTTTCAGCTTAATGGGTAAGGTTTTGTGAATGTCTGTCTCACTATTGTTGCACGTATTTTTTTCAAATGCATGCTACAAGCTTTAGAACTTTTGTGCAAATTGGAATTTGCGTGAGATCTCTGAATGTGGAACGAAATTAAATTTTATTATTTAGAGAAATATTGAATTGGCGAAGATATTTTCACTTTTTTGATGCAACTTTTTAAGTCATAGATTTTGCTACCTGCATAATTATCGCTAGTTCCCGCTAGTCTTTCCGTGCACTTACCATCTTTTCTTGTTCGTAACATTAGATACCGTTGCTGTTGCAGATAATTTTTTTGTGGGGATTGTTCAATATTGTTAGTCTGAAAATGTTGTTCATTCACCTCTTATTAATTCCTGATTTTTTTAACCTTTGTGTTTGTAGATTATCAATCCTATGCAGAAATCACCAAAAACTGCGACAATTTCTACTGAGGCACCAAGGTTTATTTTTCTTTATTTTCATTACTGATCACCAGAATTGTTTTTGATTGGTTTTTTGTAAGCATGAGTTTTTGGCCTTTAGACCACATAAGTCGAAAGTTGAGAAGAAAATCAGGAAATCTGCTGGGTTTTTCGATTTACTTCCAAGCGTTCGGAAGAAGGTGATTTCTGTAATTTCTCGTTTCTGAGTAGTTCATTTTTTGCTTTTTTATTCTGATTTTTATTGGTAATGAGTTCAATTGAAGTTTCGGGAAATAATACTATAGCTTATTTGTTATTAGCCCCAACTCCCCCATAAAGGTTTGAGTCGTGGAGCAGAGGCTTCTCATCATATTGACGTAAGTTTTTTTTCAGTTTTTTCTTTATTTTTAAAAGACATAAACGGCACCACTGGTGTAATTAAAGATCATTTTGCTATTTCTGATCACCATTATCAGTATTTCCCAATTTTTTTTGTTTATATAATCACCTAATGAATTCTTTTGAAACATTATTGTTTAGTACTGACTTTGCCTTTTTTCAGCGGCGTGTGACTATGACAGCAGACTCAGGTCTTGGTTTGTTTCTTTGTTTCTTTTGTTGATTCCTTCATGGTCTTTTCCTCTCAATATTGCATTTTCAAGCAAGAACGGGAACTAAATATTATATTTGGTTTTCAGTACCTTTGAGTCGAATTTCCAGTATAATGTTGAGCCTTTGTTAATTTTACTCTTGGCTAGTGAGCGAAGTAAAGAAGCTTAAAGTCTTTCAAAAATTTTCGTTGCTTTAGTTTTAATTAATCACTAGTCCGGTAAAAGTAGCTCAAAACCAGTAAAAGTCAGAAGAGACTGCAATAGTACTTCTAATTGTTGGTTTATATTTCCTTATGCTTAATATCGTTTCATTTTTTGCAAAATAAAAACGGATTATTATTTAATTTGGCAGAGTTTATTTATAATTTTAGGCTATTCTCTAGCTTATTACCTTCTTACATTTTTGTGGGGGATAATTTTTCTGAAACCTGTCAATAGTTCTGCTCCGACTGTTTGGTGTGGAGATGTTTGTTTTTATAAAAGAGAATAACTTAGTTCAGCTGAAACGGGAACGCTTGTTTCTTGAGTGAGGTACTGTGGTCATGGCTGTTTGAATACTCGCTAGTGTTTTTGCAATCCATGTTTAAGGGTTTTCTTTAACGTCTGTCTGATATGACTTTAGCAAAAGTGTCTGGGAATGTTGCTCATTTATTTATTTATTTTTCTCTTTGGATTTTCCTCATCCTTTTTTATTTTCATTTTTTGTCTTTTTACACCAATATGGTTCTGGAAATGAATGTTCTTACAGATTTTTTTTTCATTTGTATATTGTGAAAATATTCGTTTTTTACTTAGCAGTTTTATTAGTTTGTCTCCAATAGGAATTGTATAGCATAAATTCTAGTCGTAAAGCCATAATGGTTTGTGATTGTATTTTTAAAATATATTTTAGCAATTTGTTTTGGTTGCATTCATTTTTGGAATCAGGTGATTCATCGACCTATTTTTGTTTGTCGTTATTTTGTTTCTTCAAGCTGTCTTTTAAGCGTCTTTGGCGGTGATGTTAAGTTTGTTTGGGTCGTCTAGTAACTTAACCGAAACTGGGAGAATCTGGCTTAAGGAGATTAGAGGTGAATATTATGTGTATCTGTTTCTTTCCTGTATTGTGACCTACGGCAAAATTTATTTTTTTCAAAGTATGGTTAAATCTTTTCAGCTTTTTTTTAACGTGTTTTTAGTTTTAATCATTCTCAGTTCTTCAGTTACGAGCTTGAAGAATCATAACTTTTCTATTAAATCTGTTTTAAGCAACACTGTTCATCTTGGATTTCTGAATTGGAATGTGTTCTTATTTCATTTACCATCTTTTTTAATTTGTTGGGGAGTGGAGTTGTTAGTGGCGTTGTCAACTAAGACAAGAATTGAGTTGAAAAGTGC